CTTTCAGCCTGAAACCTGCACCCTAGGCTACATCTCTGCTCAGATTATAGCTAAGGATTTTAATATCATTCTTTTAAACATTCAAAAGTGTTAAAGGATTCGAAAATAGTTCCAGCGTCACATAACATCCAAACATCCCCCTTTTCAAGAAAGTTCAAGTTCTCTCTCCCATCCAAAGGATGAGTGCTGTCACCCAAGCATCTCCAGTATCCTCTAAAAATAGCAAGACATTGAGCTTCTCATCTTATTTCATAACTTTGTGATATTTTGTTAGAAAATGTAATCAGTGAAATTCAATTTACCTTTTTTTCTTTCTCAACGTCTCTTGTTGTTGTAAATGAACCTACCTTTACAGTCTTTTCATTTCACGTCTTCCTTCTTCTCATTTTGCAACCCCCCGCTGTCATTTTTTTTAAAGGAAAAAAGAAAAATATCTTCCTTCATAATTCAATGAACGAATTCAATGTTTTCTTCTTCTTTACTTCTATCTGTCACCCAGTTGCTGTTTTGAAATGATAAATTAGATGCGGAAGGAAGGATGCTATTCATAGCAATGGAGAAAAAAAAGTAGAGCAGTAAGAAGAAGAAATTGAAAAGAAACATACGACATGACAATAATAATCAAGAACAATCAAATGAAAATCATAGAAATAGAAAGAGAGAAGACGTGTTCGTTGTATGATATGGTTAAATTTAATTACAAATCTGGTATCAATGCTTATGGCTTATGTTCCTTACGAATTCGATTCACGGAGGAAATGAAAAAAATATTTTTTTTGTATCTTGGTTTTCCATTTAAATTAACGGAGTAATTGAGATGATTTTTAGTCATGCGGAAGCGCTGAAATGAGGCTTATTTCTTTGGTTACGAATAATATTGGGATTATGTCTTCCGAGAGTTTTGTTTGGCTTTCGATGTTTCAGATTTACATAATGGAGTAAAAATTAAAGATTTTTGTAAATATTTTATGGATTTTTCGAGGCGTAGACACTAAGTTTTGAGGAAAATAAAATTACCTTACTAGTTTTAAATTCAAAAAGTTTTCTGTTTGAAATGTTCAAGCTCTACTCTTGCAAAAAAAATTACAAAAATAAATTTCCGAGTTAAAAAGTCCAAAAAAGAGTTTGACTGCTCGAAAAAAAAGAACATCCCATCTGGGGATCGAACCCAGGACCTCTGGATTGCTTCTATTGTAGAACATTAGAAGTCCAGCGCGCTATCCTCTGCGCTAATGGGACACTTGACAACTGTTGAGTGATCTTGGCTTAAATGAGTTTATAAAGTTCTTCTATGTATTTTTTAAGTCAGTTTTTCTACACATGCTTTAAGGGTCTGTTCAACAATTACGTAATACACCAACGAACCTATTTCAAATAAGAATTCTAAGAACTTGCTTCTTTTGTTCCTGAATTTCAGACCTCATCTCCAAATGTGTCACAAAATTTTCATAAAAAATCAGCTTTGTATTAAGGGGTTAGGGGTCGTTCACTTATGACGTCCAAAATTAACGGTCATTTTTCAAAAAAGAACAAATGATTTCCAGGAATTTCAATTGTTTTTTCTCGCAGAATCCCCCCCCCCCCCTCTGGACGTCATAAGTGAACGGCCCCTTACAAAAATAAACTTTCCACTAAGGTAGACGTCATTAATGGATGACTCCTTACACCAAACAAAAATGTTTGAAAGCCATACAAACCCAGAGATCGACTTTAAAGCCATACAAATTCTTCTTTTGTCTTAGAGGTCGTCACTTCGAGCCTCGTCTCAAGCAACTTTCTTTTTTGCAAACTTATGACTTCTTTACACTATTCAAATCATAATTAATTTTAATTAAAATCATTCACAAAATTTTATTGAGTTCCTCATAAATAATTAACATCAACTAAATTCCAAGAATTAATTTATAAAATGGCAAACCTCAAAATCCTCAAAATGTTAATCAGAAATAAATTTTCTCTACGTCTCGAACATGTTGTCATTATGTGGGTTTGTAAAGATCAAATGAAAAATTATCTAATCAAAAACGGAGGTGATTATAATTACAAATTAATGTTGTCATGCTGTAAAGTATTTAAGAATATTAGTTTAAAAACCCTAACATCATCGATGTATGAACAACCTACTAATTAGTGGCATAAACATACAATTAACTTCTTATTTTCCTTGGTAATTTACCTAATATTGAAGTATAGTCTACCAAAAATATATATATAAATTCCACCAGTATGAGAGAAACTTAGTCGAATGAATAAAATCCTTTATTATATAAATATTTTAACCTTAAAAATAATAACATTAATAATTTAGTGATGTTGTACATTATATATACATAGTTAATCTCTTTTATATTTCGAAAACGTAGTTAGACTTACCTTTTTTACTCTACTCATATCCAAAAAATAAGCAGTTCCAGTTTGTACAGTTTTTATATACATATATAAATAATATAAGGAATCTTAATTAATCTCATATATTTAATATTGTTTTTTCTTGTAAATTAAAAAAAAGTAGTTAAACGAGGAGAAAATTAATTAATTAATTTTTATAGCTAGACAATTTATTATACAGTACAGTAAGCAGATAATGAAAGGTAGTTTGAATAACCTTAAAGGAACAAAAATTAAAAAAAAATTAATCAATAATCAACATCGTGACGTGCGCCGGCCGGATATAATTTTTTACTATATATTTATTGCTCATTATTAGATCTTATCATCACTTTTTGAGACTTTTTTTTTAATTCGAGAAAGTATGTACAGCAAAGAAAATGAAGGAACATAATATTGAAAAAAAAAATTGAATTCTATGAGAAAAAACTGGTGATGAAATGACGAAGGGGGAAACAACATGTTGGGAAATTTTTTTGATCGGAAATTTCAATCAATTTTATAAAATTTCCCAGCGAAATTTTTACAGCAAAATTTTGATAAGAAATGATGCAAAATTGGCTGCAAACATCCCATCAAAACTAATCCCCACCATGTTGTTATCCCCCTCATAAAATAATTGAAATGAAAATGATAATTTTAATAAGAGAAAAATTGCATAAATTAGACAACCTTTCTTCTTTTTAAATGTTAATTAAATTGTGAATAACGCTCGAGAGCTTCTTCTTATCTCATCAAGAGCTTATTTCATCCACTCTCTATCGCACTATCTCCTGATGTCTCTTTTTTGTTGGCGCATCACTCTCTTTTGCTTCATTTGAAGAGGATTTTAATGAGGACAGATAGGGCTGTATTTTGGTATAATTATTGATGAAGGGGCTGGAGGATGACTTGTTAGTCTGTAATTTTATGAGATTAGATTGAGTTCATGAGGATGGCTATTATCCTCTAGAGCTGTGCTTGATGATGATTTGTTGGATGAATTACAGGGCAGATTTTGAGGTTATAGCTGTTATGTAGGGGATATTTTTGAAAGATTTGAAGGCTAAAATTATCTATTTTTAGAGAATAAGAATGTCTAAGTGATTTGACATACTTTTTCGAGTGACAAAAAGGCTTAATTGGAAGCCACATGGAGCTTGAGCGTTGCTTGTTGACATCGAAGGTTAATAGTTACTTTTAAAATCCTTCCAGTTCTTGCATTTTGAATTATGGTACGCAACTTTCAAGAAGTGCTTTTTCTAAATACCATGTGAATTTCAAATAGAACTAGGATGTTGTATTTTTAACCTATAACTTTGGAATGGCAAACGGTGTTAATAGAGCGAAAAATAGTGACACTAAGCTGTTTTAAGGCTGCTGTAGAGTTAAATTCAAATCAAATTTACCTTTATGCCCTACTAATGTCACTTTTTTTTTATCATATTATGCTTTATGTTCAAAGCAAAGAAACAAGAAACTTTAAAAGACAGTTATAAAATTTTGTGCCTTTATTTGGTCAGATTTGGTTAAATTGGAATAAAAGGGTTTTAAAACATCTTCTATTTTATAACGCATCTGATAAGACACTTTGATTAAACCTTCTAACGATGCGTAGCCTCATTTTAAGGTTAGATTATACATTGCTTACAATTTTGTGGATTTCTTGACTTCATTTAATCTCTTACTTTCTAAATTAAAGTGACTCAGACATGCCAAGCTATCTTCTTAAGCTTATTGCTATCTAGTAAAATATGCTTTTTTATAGGTTAATAATTAGAAAATTTTTCAAAATTTATAACCTCAAAAAAATTCTCATACAGTAATTGAGAGCAAAAAATGCGCTTTTCTAACAATCTACAGTGACTTTCCTGCAAAAAAAAATCCTAAACCTTCTCATCCCTATCATCATTATCATCTCGCACACTCTCTAATTTTTCCCCGTCTCTTCATCTCAACTTCGATGTCGTTTTCTCATTTTTTTAAAAAAAAAATTAAGCTCTTTATAAAAAAACAGTAAAAAAATTTTTCTTTTCATCAAGTGATTTTAAAAATGGTCCCCCCCAGCATAAGCAGTAGGAATCTTGCTACTTATTTTTAAAGCATTGCTAAAAGGCACACAAAAAAGTTTTTTTTTTATATTTTTGTGTGCTGAAACAAATTGCAATTTCAAAAGAAACTAATTATACAAAATTCTTGATGACATAAAAGTGCTGAAATTAAAATTAAGAGAAGGAAAAAAAAATATGTTCAGGATTTATTTATACAAGTTTTTTCTCTGTTTCTCGTGCCTCCATAATGCCTTTGTGATTCACTCGTGATGAGTCCTCGTTGAGAGCTCCTTTTTTTGTCATAATTATCGAGTGAGGCAATGGAACGGATGTGAGGCAATGTGCAAAAAATAAAGAAAAACCAGAAAGTGAAGAAAGTCGTTATGAGAACATTAAAAATTGCTATAAACTTTACTAATTATGTTTCCCCTTTTTTTTCTCTCTCTTTTTTCCATAATTTTTGCTTCTACTTTTTCATGACATAAACTTTGAAAATTTTTATATTTTCGCCATCATCATCAAAAAAAAAAATATGATAATATTTTTTAATGATGTCCGAATTTGATGAATGTTAAAAAGCAGCAACAAGAACAAGATCCCACCAATTTGTATTTGGCTAATTTGCCATTGAACTTCAAGGAAACGGATGTTGAGGCAATGTTATCTAAGTATGGACAAGTCATTTCTACAAGAATATTACGTGATCAGCAAGGCACATCCAAAGGTACGTTTGCATTATTCATATTCAAATAATTTACTAAGGGGGTAACAACATGATGGGATAATTTTTTTGAGGGAAACATTTACGAATATTGAACTAAGATTTGAGGATTTCATTAAAACACTTCCTTATCATGTTGATTTCTCCTTTGTTTATAAAATTAAATTTGAAAAAATAAGGGGGTAACAACATGTTGGGAAAAGTTTTTGATGAAAAAATCTCATAATTCCAAATCATCCTTGAAAATGAAAGAAAATCCATCTAGCACGAAATTTGCAATAAAGACTTTTCCTCATCACGTTGTTTCCCCCTACAAAGAGTGTATACATCTCACTAATCAACTTTCTATTCAACAGGTGTCGGTTTTGCTCGCATGGAATCACGCGAAAAGTGCGAACAAATCATTCAGATTTTCAATGGTACACAATTGCAAGGTGCCAAAGATCCATTGCTTGTTAAGTTCGCTGATGGTGGATCGAAGAAGAAGAATAACTTCAAGAGTCCCGATCCAAATGCACGAGCATGGCGCGAAGTTCCAGAAGGCGTTTCCGTCACTTATGATCCAGGCATGCAACAAAATGGAATTGGTGTTAATGTTGGTGCACATATTGGTGTTCCAGCTTATGGACGTTATGGTGCACCACCCGTTGGAGGCTTCGCTATGCCTGGATATGTTCCCGGTTACATGATGGCACAACCAATTCAACAAGTTGACGAACAGGTTGGTGGATCTGTATACCGACAATATGAGGTTAATTTATTGTGATAATGTACTCGTGGTTATTCTGAACTTTATTAGATGAATTTAATAAGAAAGTTTTTAGGGAAATTTTCCAAAAAAATAAATTTCTGAATGCCCCAATTGCTACTCTTTTCCATAATTAAAGTCATTACTAACAGAACACATATCTCTATGATTAAAATAATTAGCAGTATATGCACGTTGCACCACCATTGAGCGTTGGTACAGCCTACAAGCAGGATTCCGTACAACCACGAGGCGTTTCGATGATAATGAGCAGTGATTCAGCCACAGCTGTTCCATATGGAATGGTCCCACAATTTTCTACTTTACAAATTGGCTCACCGGTAAGCTATGAATCACAGTCATTTAAGAATAATGGAAATTTATGTGTTGAACATTTTTAATAATTTTTAAAAAAATCTTTCTCTTAATTTTCTCGTCTAAAAAAAGCAGTACATCAGTCCTCCTTATCCTTATTATCCGCCATCAATCATTCACACAATGCCAATGGGCGAATCAGATCAAGCGAGCAACGCAGCATCGCCAGATGAGGCTTACACTACTCAATATCAGCATGCGCCAAAATAAATCATCTCAAAATCATTTCAACACAAAATAAACATTACATAATGATGCTTCTTTTGCTTTTTTCTTCATACAAAAAAAAATCACAACAACAAATTTCAAATGCGGAAATTTTTGTTTTTCGTATTATTTCGATTTAAAAAAAAAATAAATAACATCAAATGACAAAAAAAATTGTCTCAAAAGAAATTGTTCTTTTGTCTTCAAAATTTGAAAAAAAAAATTCTTTAAATCTTTAAGAAAAAAACAGACGTTTAAACCAAAAAAAAAAAAATTAATAAAAAGAGAGTAAAGGCGCTATAGGCAGTCAAACCTATAAGTATAATGGTAAGTCAAATGAATAATTTAATATTAAAGTGATGTGATGTCAGTTGATCTTATGTCTTTGAGGAATTAGATTAAAGCTGTTATTTTAGAGGATGTTCAAGTAGGTTTGGACTTGGTTTTGGTCAATTTTGGTCAAAAGTGAGACATGTCTAGATTACAGCTGTAAAAAAGCGAAAGAGACCAAATTTTGAAGTATTTCCAAGAAAAATTGGTTCAAAAAAACGAGACATTCTTAAAAAGATGGAACTGTCCAGCTCTAATGGGCGCACAGCTGAACAGCCTAGTTAAAATCACAGAGAGTCCAGACCACCCCCCCCCCCCCCCCTCCTCATCGCCCTAGAAAAATTTTTTGTATGGAAAAGTAAGGAATCATTAGAATCAATAAACTAAGCGTGAGGCATCGAAAAACCTTTCATTGAATTTTTTTCTGGCTACGCTTTTGGATCCCACTAGTAATATATTGTTGATGGAACTTCCCTTTGACAAATCTTTCTTGAAAATAGTTAAAATAACTAAGATTCTTGCCATCTGCAAGCAAATTAGATGCATACTGAAAAGGGTTCCAGTCAAGCGATATGTTCCTTAACGGTGTGACGAACTGGAGCCATTGCGATCCTGATCGATGAAAGAATCTATTTTATCTAGTTGCAAGCTGAATCTTTAAAGAGATAATTTGATCTTTAATTCTTCAAAACAAGCTAGCCTTTCTTACAAGCAATTTTAATCCAACAGACTTTAATTCCGCTTACCAAGAAATTTGCTATAAAATTTAGAAATTCTCAGTCCTCATAGATAAAGCCATATCCTCGTCAGCATGGAGCTATAATTAAAAATGAAAATTGCTCTAGCTACAATATTGTAAGCCCATGGGATACTTTTGGGTATTTTATGATAATTTACATTCTGATTTTGTTTGGATTATACATTAACAAATCTGCCTGTGCTCTATGTGACTTTAACATTCATCCTTAGTAAAATGTTTGCTGTTATGATAATTGCTTTTTTATTGAATTTTCATTGTTGGATATTAATTTTAATTATTATTAGATTGTAAAAGTTTCACGCTGAATAATCATAATCTAGAGGATGTAAATATTTGAATAATAAGAAAAGTCTAAAGGTAGAGAAAATATTTTCGAATAGCTGTTAAAAAATATAGAAGAAAAATTGTAGCGAAAAGATTTTTTAATGAAAATTTAAAATGATTTCAAGGCCTCGCTTAAGAAAATAAGATTATGTTTTTGTTTATCGAATAATTTAAAATTGTTTACAGATTTTTTCGTGCTATCGAGATATTTTTAGATGCCTTCTTTGAAAGGCTTACAAGATTTTCAATACTTTAGGAGGATTATAAAAAGGAGGAATAATTTTTATTGTATAGAAATTTGCTTTTATTAAAATTTTGTAGCCCCTTACTCGTTTTCTTCGATTTTATCAGATAGTCGACTACTGATGAGAATCAGTCTCACTTTCTTCCCTTTATAAGGTTAACATAATTATGATTTTGATATTATTCAATAAATAATTACCTTCAGAGACTTAGAAGACGTTCATCATGTTGTCAGGCAAAAACCTGATTTTTGGATCCCCTCCCCCCCCTCCCCCCCCAAACACACTTTATATCATAAAAATCTATAAAAAGTTTGTTTTGTTTAAACTCTACACAGTTTTATGTTCCAGGGGTATATCAATGCAATGTACCTAGCCACAATTTCCTTCGGATTGAACCAGGGTCGTTAAGATTGGTTGGACAACACTGTAGATTTTTCGCTGCTTAGTTTTACTGCAATCAACAAGCACAAGTTACATACAAAATGAACTTTTTTGCTAAAACGTATTAAAATCATTCGATTTTGACTAGAGATTTTAAGGAATCGAGCACAGTTTATTAATGGAAAAACCAAACATTCTAATGAGTCATCAACATGTGGTTAGAAAAGGTTAGACTATTAAGAGTACATGGTGTTGATTTTGCATGAAAATGCCACAATTTTGGCTACAATAAGGATTTTTAAAGCTATTCACCCGAGCGGCACAAAGGCTCCATTTGCCTTCCATATGGAAGCTATACGGAGCCTCCATGTTCCACCCTCCATTTGAAAATCTTCCGAAAACCTTACTATCATGGAACTTTGACGGAGCCAAAGCTCCGAAAATCCTCCGTGGGACGTGCATTTATTAACACCAAATGGAAGTCATTTGAGAGGTTTTGATGGAGGATGGAGGATCCATTTGTGGTAGTCAAACGGAGGTTTAATGGAAGTATTTTTCAAAGGATTTTTGGTACGATTTTCCACGTGTTTTTCTATGTTTCGCAATTTTTATATCAAGATTTGTAGCTGTATTAGTGGACTTAATTAAAGTACACTAACACCATTGAAAAATTTACAACTTAATTTAATTAAGTCGCAACCACAGCAATTTCTAAGTCTCGATCACACGCGTGAGAAACATAAGAAATTATTAAAAATTTTCATACAAATTAAACGACCCCATATAATAGTGATTTCTGCATGCGCTTGTGAAGTATGTAATTTCATACAAAATCACAAAAAATTATCCTTTTTTGCTTTTTTAAAGCTTGAAATGAAGCAATATGATTCAGTAAAGCTTTTCGACAATATTTCAATCCATTACAGTAAGATCTGACCTCTGTCTTTTAAAAATTCAAAAGCACGAGTTTTTCGGTATTTGATTTAAGAAAAAGCGGAGTTCATATGGAATCCAAATGGAATCAATATGAAGGATGAAAAAATAACCCTCCATTTACTTCCCACATAGTGGAGGTGGCTTTCATATGGATTCCATATGGAGACCACCCTCCACCTTGTGCCGCTCGGGTCACTATTTAATATGGCTCAATTACTCAAACTTAACCAGCTTTGGCTCCGTTTTGTCATGAAGTTTTGGACATTAAAATATAAATAAGAAGTTGTGGTTTGAATCCAGAAAAATAAGTTGAATTCTAGTTAATGACATCACATCACTTACAATTTATAATAATTATTTCTTAATAGGACAAAATGTGATCTTCATTGGTTGCATAATAAAGTATTTGACTCTGATTATATGACCAAAAAAGCTCATTTTGTTCTACTATAATTTCCTTTAATCATTGGAAAAATCTAATAAAATTTTCTTTTATTCCTAACAGGATTGGCCAAAACAATACCTCACATTACGTTCTATTCTTCAAAACAAAGAGTAAAGGTGAAAAAGAAATTTCATGAGAGAATAAAAAATTTAGAAACAAATTTAGAAATGTGAAAAAAATGCATTTTTGCATTCGCCCATTTGCAAACTATCAAAAAATGATTTAAGAGTAAAACAAAAAAAAAATCACATCTGACTGGTGGATTATCTATGGATTTTTTGTCCATTCTGCCGGTGCCAGCAGCGAGGTATTTGAGAATAAAAAAAAATTGAAAAAAATCATGAAAAAAAAATTTTTGAGGTTAAGATTTTTTTTCTATAGTTGTTAAGAAAATGAAAAGAAAGAAAAAATTTTCTTGTCGTTGTTTTTTTTATTATTAGGTTTTTTTTTCTGATGATGAACTTTAGTGTGTAAGTGAAAATGAAAATTGAAAATAGGATATAAAAAAAAGAAGAGAAGATAAAGAAGAAGAAGAAGTTGGAAAATGCATTAGGATTTAAGAGAATATATATAAAAAGAAAAGATGAGAAAGAATGATCGTAGAATTTAGTAGAGCATTTTTCTGTTCATTTTCCATGAACAATGAAAAATCGTTTTTTATTGCTAGTATCCCCAACCTCCCCATAATATCCATTTCCTCTCACTCCCTTTCGTCAACCATCCCTTGACACACAGATTTTTTTTTCTTTTAGAGATTAATCATAAGATAAAGATTTAAGTGAAAAATACACAGATGAAAATGAGAAGATTAATTAAGGATAGAAAAAAAAATTGAAAAGAATGAAAAATAATTTTTTTGCGCTTGTGAGCTTGTAAATAGACATACAGTTAAAAAATAGAAAATTGTATTGTGCAAGAAAGAAATGAGAGATGAATAAGGAACGGAAAAAAGATGAATCGTTAAGACGCTAAATGAAATTTAGGAATTTAAAAAAAAAGTCGGAAAATTGAGAAAAATGTTTTTTTCTGTTTAATTTTTTTAAGATTAATTTAGATGAGAAAAAATGAAAAAAAAACTTTAGTATGAAAAATCACACACACAGAATGTGGAATGTAGAAAATTTAGTGTTACGAATTTCATAGGGCAAAGTGTTTAAAATTAATGAAAAAAAATGAACTTAAGCTTCCCATGATTTAGGTGTGGAAGTTTAAAAGAAAATAAATGAGAAACAATACATGAAAGTATTTTTTTTTTGCGAATAATAAATATTAAAGTAACATGAGGAGAAGGCGTGCATGTAGGTGAGGATGGATGTTATTAAAATTCATTATGGATTTCTATTGAATCCATTTGCTTTGTGAATTTTTCTGTGTCTCGAGTTTTTCTGGATTTTTTTTGGTATGGGAGGAAGTACATGAGTGAGGGTTGGATTCTTGCTTTGTCCTGGGATGTGCTTACATTATTGAGTATGCTTATGAGTGCTGCTTTGTTAGGATAAGTCAATATTCTCATAAAATTGAGTATGTTTAGAGCATATTCATTGTCTTTTAAGGATACAGACAAGATGTAAGATTACTTTGGAGATTTATAGAGAAAGTCATACCTTAGGATAGTTGCTTTGCTACAAGGGGTGCTCTAGTGTGCCCCTTTGAGTATGAGATTTACTCGACATCTTGTTCTTCTCTTAAATATTGCTTATTTTAGAAGTATAACTAAGAATTATAGCTTTCGATGGATTCCATATGACTTGTGTACCCTTCGGGTAATCTCCTGTATAATATGCAACCTATAATGTTACAATTCTGAGTTATACTATTAAGATAGATCCTTAGGCATGTCAATGAGTTAAAGACTTTGAGACATTCACTCATCAATATCAAATCCTCAGATAAAGCAAGAAACAAGACCCGAATTTCTGTTTGTATTTCCAACCTAGTACCATGAAGACTTTAAGAGTGTCATTAAGGTAGAGACATCACACTAAATTGCATCTATTTCAAAATATCAACTAGAATTAAAGTTCAAAGCTTGATCAGAAATTAAATGCAATGCCTTAATAAACTCACAAAAATCTTCATGAAAATCTAGCAAACACCCCCAGAAAAACCGAGTCCATCAACCCCCTCACCCCAAACCAATAATTTTTTCAACTTTTCATAGGTCATTAAAGAACTATCAAAACATGGGATTTGTGCAATTCTGTTCAATTTTTTTCCTCAACCTTTTTTTGTATTTTTAATTTTGGAAAAAATTTCACTTTTTTTGTTGGCAAATTTTTTTTTTATATATTTTTTAATTATTGTCAAAATTTCTCTGAACTCTGTTACCAAAAGAAACCAATTCATGTTTTTTTTTTATTATTAGTAATAATAATTTTTTAATTATAATTTATTTGTCCATAAAATTCATCTGGCGGCGCCTAAAAATAACCGAAAGTGAAAAAAAAGAAGAACAAAATGAAGTAAAAATAAAAGAAATTGTTTTATTGAATGCCAATAAAATGAAAGAGAGAGAAAAGAAGAAGTTAATAGATGCTGCCATAAATTAAACGTCAAATCGTGTTTTTTGTTCAGATAAAAAAAAGAAAGAATGAGAAAATAAAAAGATGGAAAAAAAAGAAAAAAATTATCGAAGGATTTGACTTTAAAATCAGGATACAATAAATAATTTCGAACCATTTTCTTCAGATAATAAAAAATAAAGAGGAGGAGATTGATTCAATTAAGTGAAGAGCAACCTTGACATACACACAAACATACACAACACAGCAACACAGAAGAAGGAATGAAAAATCCATAAAAATTAAAACAAATTCATTTAATTGAAAGTCATTTTTTTTCTTTTCGAAAATGATTTTTTATGTTTTTTGAAACATTTTTTTTTGCAGTGCTTTATATACATTTTACGGTATAAGAGAGAGAATGAAAAATTGAGGGGTGTAAATAAGACCAGTTGGCAAGTGTTTGCTGAATATTCTTGTGCATATTTGCTATAGATTTGTGGCAAAATTGTAAGGTTAAAATCTTGTTGAGTTTGGCTTTTTTGAGAAGGATTTTTGAAAGCTATCGACTACAGTTTGCTTAAAAAACCTGTGATCAAGTGATCAAGTGGTTTAGACATGAATAGTCTTAGATCTACTACCTAAAATGACTGATTAGCAACTTGCTTGAACTTCAAGTTTTTGGTACATTTTAAGGATTTTTGAACTTTTTTAAACCTTTAGAAAAAAATGAACATTTTTAAAAATCAATTTTCTTTCCAAAACGACCAAAGAAACTCCTCAAAAATCAGTAAAATCTTGCAAATCCCTCAAAAATCAACAAAATCTTGAAAATCCCTCAAAAACCAAAACATATATCAGCAAATCCTGCCAACTGGGAATATTGATTTGTTAGGATCGGCAAAATAAAACTACAACAACAAAAAAATCGACACACATAAGAAAAAAGCAAAAAATGATTGCGGTTTGCACGTGATAATGTTTATTTTATTTTATTCGGTAGAATGAACGCAAAGCGATATGTGTAGTAAAAGTAAAGTTGATGATGTAGTTGTACAGATAATGCAGAATAGAAGGAGGATGGCGATTGGAAAAAGAGCGTTAAAGTACATTAAGCTTCTTTTTTGTTTCCACTGCTTCTGATATGAAGGATATGTGGGGAAATGGTGAGGAGGATTAGACACTTTGTAGATTTTTAGAGGCACCCACATTAAGATCCTTGAATTTAGTAAAGTTCTAGGAATTTCACAGTGAATATTTCTAGGAACTTTGAAGATTCCTAACAGAATTTGATGAGAAAATCTTCTAGGTGAGTTTTGAAACTTTATTAAGCTTCTTTTGAAATTCCAGCAAGTAGTATAGCTCATCCCTAGATTTTCATCCCCATCAACTTTCAGACCATCGTAAAAAAATTCCATAAAAACACCACAAGTGTCTAATCCATGAAATACAATACCACTAAGCTCCCCTCACTCATATCATCCCCACATACACATAAAAAAAGACTTTTTCGTGTACATCCATGACTGAAAAAAAAAATCTCCCCCAATGTATGTTTTTAGCTCCGGTCAAAATTTATTATCATTAGTTTCATGGGAAACACACGAAGATAAAAGAAGAAGAAAATTGGGAAGGTATAAAGTTACGTGTGTGTCTATGTGATATAGTAGATGTCCGATATGGGAAAATAAAGATATGCCTGTTACATACATACGTACATATTTGTGAAAAACAAAGCAGAGGGATATAAAAAATGATATAAAGCAGTTGAATTCTAGTCCTATCAAATTTAATATAATATATTTTTTTTTGTTTGTTTTTTATTTGTGGTTTGTTTGTTTTTATTATTTTCAATTCATTATAAAGTACATGAGAGTTGTTTGGAAATGATGTTTGACATTTTAAAGATTAAATGGGTTTAAGAGCAGAGACCGAAACTGCTAAGAAATAAGCCAGCGGTGGCTTAATTTCGGATTATTTTAATTGACTTATTGTATCGTCTTAATTAAGCCAAGCTAAGCCACCAAGCTAAGTGGCTTCGATCTTTTCTCTAGAGATCTGTGGCAATCCAAGAAAAATAACTGATGTGCAAAATTTTGATACAGTCGTGCATATGGAGGTGGTTAAAAAATTCAGGTTTTTAATAGACGTCACTTATGGATGCCTCCGAAAGTAGTATTCATCAGTGACGTCTACCATAAAATTGAATTTTTTTCTTCTTTTTACCCAGTTTTGTCACTAACTGTCCAATTGAAGATTTCTCAATTTTTTGTGTAAAACCGTCTTAGCTTTAAAATGATATTAAGTAAGAATGAGGTTTTAGTTCTTAAAGGTTATGAAGACCTATTGAGCAGGTAACCTTATTTATTCATAAAATCAATACCGTAAGTTAAATTGACGTTCTTTGAAAGTAAGATTGCAATTATTATGGACATTCTGTTTAATTTCATTACAAACTTAAGCTAGAAGCCCATCTGGCCATGTCTGTGGTATAAGTACAATAATACCCGAAAAGCACTAGTCGGTTAATAGAATAAAAATTTGGCACTAAGCCGGTGTGATTCTGGAATGGTGCTAGACTTAAATCGAATCCAATACCATGACAGAGTTACGCCAGTACGAATAGTTTAACCGTTTTATACTACTCGAGCTGTTACACTTGGTATGGTTAAATTGTTTAAAGTAGTTTACTCCTTTGCCATTCCAAGTGTTTTCGATAAATCATTCAAGAAGGGTTCCTGCACCATACCCTAATGTCAGACATTATTTTTCAACAACCCCAAACATGTACATCCAAAAAAACGAAATAAGAAGGAGGCGATGTAGCAAAAAGGAAGAACAATTTGATGAAATGAAACATTTAATTAGGCTAAAATAATTTTTTTATAATTTTAAAACAACAACAAAAGTAGAAGAATGAGAAGAAAACATTAAGTTTAAGTGCTGGATTTAATTATACATTATAAGTATATACACATAATAATATAAGAGAATAAATTGAGTAAAATGAATGAAATTGCGATGAAAAGAAAGTTTTTTAATTAAAACAATTTTTTTTGGTATACAATATAATATCTGGTTCGGTATGCTATATGACTTGACATATGTGTGTATTTGACATATGTGAATGTATTCGAAAAACAATTTATTATGAAAAATGAGAGAAGAAAGAGCAAATTAATTTTTATTTTCTTCTTCCTTTATCTCTTTTTAATGTTTCACTTCTTTTTTTTTGTGGATGTGATTCATGTTTAATTAAAAATTGCGATCGGATGGAAGAATAAATTTCCATGTGACAAATTTTTATATTTTCTCATCAAGCTGTTGATTTTCATTTTCTTTTACTTTTTTGCCTATATTTTCTCAAAATTAAATAAATAAAAATTTTATTTGAAAGAAATTAAAGATGAAGATAAATAAAATTTATGAACGAAAAGTTATCTTGTGTGCACTTTTGTGCGAAGTTAAAATGAATTATTTATGTGACATACTTTACATGAAAAATGTTACTTACTGTGCGGGACTGAAAAGTTTTTTCTTTTTCCACAAAGTGACAAATTTTACATTCTGATTATTGATTTGAAACTTGTGTGAATTTTGATACACTCTGACTGATTAAGGTGGATGCACAGAGTTGGTCATTTAAGTTTTGAGACTCAATATTGGTTCTTGTGACTAGATTTTAATCTAATTGTAAATTCAGATGATTATTTGCCTGATTTTGCAATCAATTGTCTCAAATTTTGATTATTTAATGAAATTTTCAAGATTTGGATAGGAACTCTTCATGAATTGACTACTTGTGGTCAGTATCAATGTCTTACAGTCATGGTTGACTTCAAAACCAAAGCTGATGCTATGAATGATGTCAACTATTATTATCATGTCGTTTAAAATTGAAAAAAAATCTATTTAAGTTTCAAAAATCGTCTACAATTAAGCTTGGTCTATAGAATCTTTACTAGAATGGGCATTAGGAGTGATTAGAGTCAGCCTTACAGTTAATCGATGTAAAAAAATCATTCAAATTTAAAAACTATCGACAGTTCAAAATTCTAGCTATCTGAGCCTCAAAAACTTCTATAAATAATCACTTGATTTAATCAGAGGCGTAGCCAAGAAGAATGAGGGCTAATTTCAGTATTTTTTCATAAAACCATAGCAAATTCTGTTGACAAAGGGACCCCATCAATCATACCTACGCCCCTGCACATAATTCATTTCAACTTCCAAAATTATCATAAAAATTGACCTTAATATATTTTTTTTATTTTATTTATGTTTCCCATAAGAAATACACAAATGATGATAGTCATTAACATCTTAAAAATCATATTTCATATTGATTAACTTTATTTTACATCACATCACATCGCAACTATATTGTAGACGAACATCACATTCCAATTTTTCACATATTTATGCTCTCTTCAGAGAAATAATTTCAACATCTAAAAGAAAAGTTTTTTTTGTGACTTTTTCTCATCAATTTCTCGTTATTTTAATGCAATCGTACTCTAATGTAAAATTTATATATACATTTCCTCTGTTTCACGATCACGCGGATCAATAAACTTTCAAACTTTACATCTAGATTCCGAATTCTATTTCAAAAACTTCACGTTTTGTGAATATTTTGCTCAATTTTCGATAAAATGCAATAAAAATGTATGAATTATTCAAGAAGATAAAGTCGTTATTCCCACCAATACCATGCGTTTATATCTACATATATTGAAGCAGCATCCTTTGAATTCATGATTATCGAAGATATAAAATAAAATTCAAAATTGCGCTCAAACTTCTCACCACCAAATATGGATTATTATTTTCTGAATAGAAAGTAGAAATTTCTTTATGGAATGATTTACTTGCTTGTGAGGTCAAAAGGGATCAGAAAATTTCAAAATCTAATCAATTTTTCCATCACATTTTTGACCAACAAAGGATCTAACAACGTCATGCGGGCAACAAAGAGATGAAAAATTAAATAAATTTGCATTTTAAGCAAATTTTCATATTGTCAAAAGATTTTTCTTTTGGGAATTTTTTTTCTGTAGATGAATTTGCAACTTTTAAGTAGATTGCAGACTTTGGTGTGAATGAACTGAAGCTGTCGAGCAGATATGGTTAAAATATTCAAGCAAATGAACTCATTCAAAGGAATTTTCACTTTTTTTGATTGGAACAGGGTTGGGAAGTGAGTTGATATAGATTTTGAGTTTGGTTGGATCTTAACTATCTAGTAAGATAGCCAATAGATCTTTAGGCTCTTTAAAGGTTTAAAAGTACGCAAGAATCTTGAGTTGAGTAGAGAGAATTCTTAATTTTGATTCTGGATGCTTAAACCTTTAAGTTCCTAGCTTTAGAGGCCAACTTAAAGTTTGAAGTTGTTAAAAATCAGCAACTTCTTCAAAATTCCATCAAGAGCCATCCAACCCTGATCCAATCAGTAAAACTAAAATGTATTTAAATAAAATCCACGACAATGTTGTTCCCCACACTCTACAAAAAAAATATATACACGAATTAATGATGATAATCGACGTAAAACATCCAGGTGGATTTAGAAAATGAGATGAAAAATTTGTGCCTTTTTCACAAATTTTTTCAAAAATTACACACACTCAAGAAAAAAAAATTTAAAATCATAAACTTAATTTGACAAAACAGGACGAAGTAACAATAAATGATGAGAATATGCATCAACACCAGAAAATAAATAAAAAATATTTAATTATGGCTATTGACAAAAGGAAATGAAGTAAAAAAGTGATGGATAAAATTTTCTTTTTGATTTTCAAAAGCGATTCCAACAAACAAACAAAAAAATCTGTAGATTTTTTTTATAAATCAAATTTAGATGAAAAGAAAGTAAAAGAAAATCATTGACATTTCATCATGTGGAAGAAATAGCAAACTTCATTTCATTTACGGACTGGATTTTTTTTATTTCTATCGAGTGCCATTCAGATCTCTTTGTCGAGATGTTGTCAAATATTTAAATAATAATTGAAAATGAGAAATCAATGGCTCTTATGAGGGTTTAGGAATTGAGATGGGAAGATGTTTCATGTTTTATTGATTGGAGATAAAGGACGTCAAATTTGAATGAAAATATTTTTTTGGGGTTTTTATATTAAATCGAATTTATTCGCATTTAAATTTGAATTTAGAAGATTTTTTTGAGGATTTTATTGAAATGATGGAAAGTATTTTGAAGTTGTTTAAAGGGAAGAGATCTTGACAATTTTTGGGGTTTGAATTTAATGAGGAAAATTGAACAAAATCTTTGAATTCATTCACGTCGATTTAAAATCGATGAATTTTTGTGAATACTTTTTCAGATTATTGTAAATCACAATTTTCAATATTGTTCCTCATTTAGGGTTGAATTTATAAATGAGTTTCTTGTGGAGAGTGTAAGAGGTTGCAGAAGGCAAAAAAAATTTATATAAAACTAGTGTAGGATGCTATGAGTAACCAGAAAAACAGGCTTGTTATCAAAGGTTGTGTTTTGGCGATCTTAAGATTTTGAGTACAAGGCTCAAATAATCATATTCTTGTGGTTGCAAAATTTTGGACTTGTTTTCGGCTGTAAAATTCATACTGGTTCACAAATCAAGATATCCATTGCTGAAATGAGGGTCCCAAACCTAGGCAAACACTTTAAAACTTCTAAAATCAATTAGATCCACATGATCAACATGACACACATCCCTTAAAAATCCAGTTCCTTCCCTGCTTCTTAAAAATACAATTAAAAACGCTTTACCGTAATCCTCAAATTCAAAAAAATCATCCAGTTCCGTAAAATCATGAAAAAAACATTTTGAAAAAAATTCATTTGAAATTCATGCATTCCACACATCAAGCCATCCATCGACAACATGAAAATAAAATATGAGTTAAAAGAATCAGTTCCAGGAATGTAAATTATATTTTTACGACACAAAAACACAAAAATTAGTTCATTTTTATTGCAAATTACCTCTTAAAAAATAATTTAGTCTAATTAATTTTTTTAAATTACCAAAAATGAGAAAATGAAGATAAAAGCATGTGGGTCATGGGGACAATTTGAGTTTGATATGAAAGTCTATTTTGCTATCTTATATTTTATTTTAATTGACTCATTTTGCAAAAACAAAATAATTTAAATTTGCACATGCAATGAAGGCAGACAAACAAGCAGACAAGCTACCGCGTGTACGTGCATTAATCATGAAGAAAGAAAAAAAAAGAATTCTATTTTATGGAGATGAATAAAATATCTATTGAATGTGAAACATAATAAAAAATTGAGAAATAAAAAAAAAGATGGTATATTTTCTGTTAATATGAAATTGCTCATAATTTTTATCATAAATGAAGTGAAAAGTTTAAAAAAAGATGAAAAAAATTGTATACAATAAGAAACTAAATAAAAGAAAAAAATTTAAAAAAGTGAAAAATGACTGAGAAATTTAAAAACAAAAAAAAATATAAACTAAAATAAATGTTATGCAATTGACAATTTTGCAATTGCAAGACGATTTAAAAAGGGATATTTAAGAGAAAAAACAAAAAAATGCATAGAAATCATCAAAAATAAAAAATTCTGGTCATTCTTTAATTTTTAATTGTCAGATAAATAAATTTTCTATTTTTTGCATCGCAAAATGATTAGCACAAATTTATTTATTTTTAAAAAATTTCTTTCATTGTATAATCAAAAATGCTGTTATTGAGAATTTATGTGATTTATTCTCTTTTATTTTATTTTAAATTCTGTTATCAATCTGAGTCATTAGATATTTCGGAATTGAACACTTGTTTCTGTTTGATTGCATTATGTTGACATTCGGTGTTTTGTGGATAAGAAAGTGGCTGAGTTGGAAGATTTTATTCTTTTTGGGAGGTTTTGGGTTTGATTGGATGATAATTTGTTAGATTTATGAATACAAGGTAGTCTGGTGGGTCTGTTTGACAGTTTGGTGGATCAATGAATAGATTTTAAGGATCAGGGGTCTATAAAATGCCTAGGAAAGGAGAATGAGGTTAAGGCAAAATGAAACAATGTTTAAACATCAAAAGTCATTCTATAATGTTTTAAAGAAG